TCCGCAGGCAGGGGAGGCAGGGCTCGTAGGGAGGGCCTTTCCTCCCACCTGGCCTGAGGAGGTGCGTCCTCTTCTTCCTCGGCCTTGTTTGTTTCTGATCTGCTGTGTCAGCCGGTGGTGGTGGTGGTGGTGACGACGAGGCGTGCTGGGTTGTTTGTTTGCTCGCTCGGTGACTCAAAGTGGTGATCTTGAGAGGATGACCCTGTCCAGCTCAGGACAGGCTGAGCTGGAGGCAGTATTGCGTCCCGGGTCACCCCAGCCCCAGGAAAGGAGGTGTGTGGCTTCCCTAGGTCCCACCTGCAGGTTTCTGCCTTCCTGAAGTGGCCCAGGCAGCTCGGCGGACCAGCACACCCTGGCCGGGCTGAGTCACAGCGTCCTCTTTCTTTCCAGTAGCCCGTTGGAAGAACCCAGGAAGGTTTTTTGGTTCTCCTTTTTGTTCTGCCTAAACTGGTTTTCCTGCCTGTGTGTTAGGATGGAACAAGAGTCATGGCTTTGTTTGGCTGTTGCACCACTGAAAAAGAACAGAAAGCTCATCCTTGCCATGTGTTTTGTTTGACAAAGCAAGTTTCAGGCACTTTTGGTCCTGCAGGTTTAGTTTTTAAAAATCACATTTTAAATGATCATTTTAAATGCAATGCAGATCTTATTTCAGAATCACCAAGGTGAGAAAATACAAAAACTGATCTAAAAAATTCTTCTGATGAGACTTGTCAGCCAGGCTATTTAGACTGTAAAACTGAGGCAAACAATTGGTCAGTATTGAAAAGACGGGAACTGAAAATGGATGAGTCTTGTTTTTGTTTGCTTATATTTATGTTACTGCTAGGAAGGGCTGCTTTTCCCCATGATAGCATCAAACAGTAAGACTTACTTTTCTACCTCTGCCCCAATCTGCCTATCTAGTACACCTCTTCCCACTGGATTTACAAATTTTGCCACAAGACTATATGCTAGTGGAAAGGGAGGAGAGTTGATCCCTTTCTTTCTTCTGTGGCTGCAGCCTTATGCTTTAGTACCTGCCTGACAACTACAGATGGCCGTGAATTCCAGGTGGGCACTAGTAGACTGGCTAGGAAAGGGAGAGGGTTTTGTCCTTAACTTTAAAAGCATTGTGGCCGATTTGGAGGGAAACCCCTCCTCTGCAGCCAGCATAGAAGTTCACTGCTGCACCACTGGTCGGCCTCTAGCGGGGCAGGCACATTTCTGGGCTTCTTTAAATGACTCCCAACTGTCACAGCCCAGCATGGGCATTTTTCCCTCTAATAGCTGAAGCTCCACCCATTTGAGACCATGTAAACATGTATTGAAAGGCAAGGAGGTAGTAAAGAAATTGGATATTCAGAGCAGTGGGTTTTCTGTGAAACTGTGTTATATCTTTTCAAAACTCTCTGGGTTTTTTTATCTGCAGAGCAAAGAGTTGAAGATGTGAGGCTGATCAGAGAGCAGCATCCAACAAAGATACCAGTGAGTAGACTTCCATTTGTTTTGACTATTTCTTGGAGAAGCCAGAAGATCTCCTCTTTAAAGATGTAAAAGAAAAATACACTCTTGTTAGTAAGTTGGACTCATTTGTGGTGAGGAACAGCTGAAGACAGGCTGAGATCCTGGTTCCTCCCCTGCCATTTTATTTTAGACTCTGCAGGGTTTTTTTTTCCTTTTGTCCTCACTCCTCCTTCCCTGTTACAGTATATGGCAACATGGAGAAAAGAGGTGTAGTGGCAATTAAGATAATAGATGGCGAGAAAGTGGGCTTGCAACTACCCCAGATATCTGCAACCATGGTGGGATGGGGGGGGAAATGACTAATTTCTCCCCTCACCCTGCATTTTTGCAGGCTCTTTTCCCTGCTCCAGCCAAAGAAGTCTTGTATAGATAACTGCTGTGACAGCCTTCAGTAAAAAACTCAGGATATAATGCATAGTAGAAACAAACAAACCAAAAAAACCCAACCACTCAAAACCACATCAAGGTAAAACTGCAGAAGCAGTATTATATACAGTAAATGGTGTGAATTTGGTAGACTGCATTAAGCCACAATTGACACAGGCTTAGACGACAGGCTAATGTGCCTTCCTTAGAATGGTTTTGCCCCAACACCGGAATGATAAAAAAATGACTTTCCTGAGGAAGTTATTTCATGGACAGAGCACTACAACCTCTCAAGTGGGTATTGCCTGGCAGACACTGTATAGGATGGAGGCACAGAGGAGGCTTCTAAAAGCCAAAGGATTCTAGCAGCGGTGTAGAGTAGAAGTTGTGTGTTATAGCTCTGCTCTGGTCCTCTTTTGCAGGTAATTATTGAAAGATACAAAGGAGAGAAGCAGCTTCCTGTTTTGGATAAAACTAAATTCCTAGTCCCAGATCACGTCAACATGAGTGAGCTGATCAAAATTATCAGGTATTTAACTGAAATCCTTTTTGTATCATCTGTGGCCTGCTTTTTGGGGACAGTCTGTAAATAGAGAGGGTTACACCTGGTGAACTTTGTGGATTTCTTTTACCTGTAGCAGCTCAGGTTGGGTTAGAAGGAGAACAAGATAAAAAACAGGGTTAGGATTGTCTTCTATTCTATTTGACGTACAGGAAATGTATACTGAATGTGCAAATATAAAGACTGGTATGTATGTGTATGATAAGAGGGGAGGAGCCTGTAGTGGAAATATTGGGGGAGATAGAAGGGTGTAATGATGGCTGAAGATACTAAGTTGAGATGGGAGGAATTAAAGGGGAAAAAAGCTTAGGTCTTCCGTGTGTTTGGCCTGTGTGAGCACAGGACACAAACAGCAATAGAAAATTGATGTGTAGGAAAGGCATGCCTATAGAAATGAAGATAAGCCCCTGTTTGTGGGGGAGCAGAGAGATAAAATGTGAAGCCTGTCAGTAGCTGGAATGTAGGTTTTAAGATGGGAAAAGCCCTCCATGCTGTCTAAAGTCAGCCAAACTGCACACCCCTCCTCTGTGGTACTCTGTATGTTCCTTAAGGCCGTCTTCAGAAGGTGGAGGGTCCCTTTCATCTCAGGGAGGTGCACCAGATGGTGGGCTGCAACTCCCCGCATTCCTCTCTTCTTGCTGCCATAGGGTTTGGGTTGACCAGAGTTGCCTCCAGTGACATCTAAAGGCTGCTCTTTGCTTGGCCGTGTCTTAATCCACTATATCGTTTTGCAGTCAGTTCAGGGCTATGATGGGGAATGGGATATTGCTCACCATAGGATTTCCATGGACAGCTCTGAAAGGCTTGCTTTATTTTTCAGGCGTCGCCTACAGCTGAATTCCAATCAAGCTTTCTTCTTACTGGTAAATGGACACAGCATGGTGAGCGTTTCTACACCGATTTCAGAGGTGTATGAAAGCGAGAAAGATGAGGACGGATTCCTGTACATGGTCTATGCCTCTCAGGAGACCTTTGGTATGATATCCTCTGTGTAAACCCTACCCAGTGGCTTGTAGCCTAGGATAATTTTTACCCCTTCCGCCAAGAGGGAAACGAAGGAGTGTCACCAGCCTGCTCACCGTAGTTGCGATTAGCAGGTGTTCCCATCATACTTTGCTTTTGTTTGTGAATATTGGAGTGCCAGTATGGACCAGCCCAGCTTCATAGACCTGCAACAAATTCACACAGGCAGATTTGCTTTTTAAAACCCTCTGGAATTTGACTGAAACCATACCATGTGTGTTACACTGACAATAAAGGGAGATGTTCTCATGACTCTGATCGTAGGAACTGGGCTGAATGATAAGTAACACTCAGAAATACATCTTTGTGACATCTCCTCTGTTAAATCCTGCTTGAGCTCCTAAAAACTGTTTTTAGAAAGGGAACAAACAGGAGTAAAGGCTGGCTTTAAATCCATGGTGAATTTTGATAAGTCAGTGGATATGGTGGGGAGGGAGGAATAATCCTGGTATAGCTACTTTAGATGATTACATCAGATTGCTAATTATTTCCATATATCAAATGCCACAGCTTCAATCTAGTTTTAGGAAATGTGTACTTTAAAGCTAGGTTATGTATGATGTAACAGTTATCTAGGAAAAACCTCAGCCTATTAAGATCCTGTTGTAATATGTTGTACACCTCCTCAAGATTTTCTCTGTTAACCACACCACCATCCTGAATCAAAGAGGACATGTTTTTGTCCTTCAGGTGTTAGTTGAGCACTTGACTGAAAAGGGGGATTTTGAGAGAGAGGGAGTGAGAAGATTTAAAGGATGATCACAGAAAGTTTTATTTGTTTGTATGTATGAAGCACAGTAATCTTTCTACAAGTCCTTGATTTTTGTTCAAAAAGGTGGAATAGCTTTTGAATCACGCCCTTACTAAAAACTCTGGTTTCTCTCAATATTACCTGCAAATTCAAAGCATGCCCTTATGTTTTAGATTGGCTGTGTTTGGGTAACGGGAGCAGCCGAGAGTTTGGTCACTTGCCCTTCCTGCCATGTGCATGGGAACTAAATCTCAGCTTTGTTGTAAATAGGATGTTGTCCTATGCAAAAGGAATTAATTCAGTTAAGTGGCTAACGTAATGAAATGTACTAAATATATCCTTGTATATTCATGTCTGTGAGTTTAATTATTTTTATAGCAAGCTTCCACTAATGAGAGAAAAGAGCAATGCTTAATTTTGGCACGCTGTAGTCCCTCATTAAGTGACGTAGTTTGTTCCCTCGCATGCATCTGTTCAGTGCTTGCTTTTATTTGTTAAAATGTTCACTGTAAGCTTTCACTTCTCTGTAAAATTTTAACATATTCTGTTCAGTTTAATATCTTCAAGACAGCCATCCATATAACTGATGCTTGTACAAATGTTTTTTTTTAAAAAAATACTAATATGGACGATTCCATCCTGAATTGATTAGAAGCGTGGTCATTCACAAGTCCATTCCGATCTTAATGCTATGTCTGAACTAAAACAACAACAACCCATAACCACCACCCAATTTCTCCAAAGTTTTCACTGATACAGAAGTGAAAGATGCCATGGCCTCATCTGTGATCTGTGAAAAATTACCTTTCCTACAAATATGGCAAGCATCGTACTTAGAACAGGGAATGCTGCCGTAGCACTGAAGGAATTTTTTTTTTTTGCTGGAAAGGACCTTCTATTATCCAGTAGTCTAACTTGCTGAATAGACAGCTTACAGAACCAAAGCTGCTGCCGAGCTTTGTAGTCACTATTTTGAGATAAGACATTGTTTGTTAACCTTTGGTTTAATCTACTGTGATTATTACACCAAAGCCTCATCATTTTTTAAATCACCAATGCAAAATTGGGATGTCTGAACAGAGACTACTACTATGGTCTTTCATTTTTTTTCAGTACATTAAATTTACTCAGATAAAAACATTCTAAAAATGTACAATTTTACCTTTAACAAAGTATAATAAACATAAAAATCCCAATACCAGAATACTTGACATGTACAGTCCAAAATCAAGTTAGATGAATATTAAATATTTACAAAACCTTTAATATTTATATAAAGTTACATGCATGTTTTGTAATACTAGATGTAAAAGAAATGGCTCAAAATGGGCAGAATAGTTTCCTTCATTCCTAGTGGAAAGTTATATTTGAAAATAATGTTAACCTGCACTTTTGAAACCTAGGTGGTTCCTACGGCTAATAATTTATTATACAGAAATAGTCCCAAGGCTATAGTAATACTGTAAGTTGTTTGAATGTTGGTAGGTTTGTGACTTACCATGATTTCAGGTTCTGCCTTTGGCCGTATCCAGTACAGCAGCTTTACAACAGCTGCAAGCATGGCATACCTCTTAGCAATAAAAATACCCTCTACCAGCTTAAGAAATTAAGTCAGCTGCAGAGACTAGGGCTTTAACAGAACAGTATCCTGTACCCTGCAGAATATGCCTTTCCAGAGACTTATCTTTGTAGCTTATCTTTGGCTACCTCAAGCAGTTTTTTTTTCCTCGTGGGTGCACAAAATGTAAGCTTTTATCAAGCGGTTCAGGCAAGGGCTTCTTTAGTCAGGGCTGTGCTGCAGTTATCTACTGCTGACATGGTTCCCAATCGTCAAACTGTGTATCTTATACTTCAGTCACATGTTGCAAGTGGTACTTCTCCAACATAGTCCGTTATGCTAGACTGGGAGTCAGGAGGGTCTGTGCTTCCTACTATCTTGTCTGGAGCTATTGGTGATTCTGCCTTATGTGCTACCACATCCACTAGTTCAAAGTTACAGCCAAACTAATATACACAGTCTTTTAGGAAAATGTTGATTTTCCTTTGAAGGAGGGTTGTATGAATCCCCATCAGCTATTGGGCTGAAGTCAAACAAGGGGAAATAATGACAGTTTCCCTAACAGGTTTGCTTTGCATGTCTCAAATCAGTACTTTGGGAAGCAGACATGATCAACTCTCCCGTCATCTCCTCTTGGACTTCCTTGGCTTTACAAAGTGAGAGCTGTTGTCCATGCCATTTGAAAACAAAATGGCTAGGGCACAGACTGTTCCTTCTGCCTGGAAAAAAAGGCAAGAAAAGAAATCCACAGGTTTTTTGGGAAGGCCAGATGTCACAGGAACAAGTTTGAGAGATTTTTGCAGTTAAGGTGCCTGAAAGTTTGAGTAGCATTAGATGGTTCCTATTTTTAAAATGAATATTTGGCTTTCATCTGGCAGATATTCCAGGCCAGTTGAAAAGTTCATCTCAGTAGTAATCATAAAGGTGCACTAAGGAATGATAAGTTGCTTTTACATTAAAGCAAAATAAATGGCTGTGTTTCTTCTCATTAACATCGTAGGTTTTAAACTTTTACTTTAGAATTACAGCCGCTGCAAACATAACTCTTATTTAAATGTTATATGCTAGGGTCACACAAAGGGAGCTGAACTATGATCCTACTAAAATCAATGTCGCATAATTTCCTGATTGTTTTCATTGGGGAATAAATTCAACTAGCTTAGTCTCATGCCTATCCTATGTAATACTGCTTGAGTGAAACAGGGCCAAGGATATGACATCTCCATTGCATAGAAATAACTGAAGTTGGATATAGGGTGCTAGAAACCTGATGCTTTTGCAGCTTTGGACACGGATTTCCAAAAATCTAAGCAATGCAATAAATCTCCTTGAAAGGTTTTCTTACAGAGGTTAGTTTTTATGCCAACCCCCTCCCCCAAGATGCCTCCAACCAAGCGAACATCGGGCGTCTGTTTCTTAAAGGCAACAGGTATGACAAGCATAGGGCTATCAAGACATTATAAAAAGCAAAACCAAATGCCCCATCCTCTGCTCTTCCCAGTATCCTCTTCAGAGCAAGAACCTCTTGTGCAGTGAAACAGCCCACAACTTCAAATCTTGTTGTATTTCCAGTGGCAAGATCTAGTCAAGTCACACAGCCACCCTGCCTAGGCTCACAGTTCCCATTACAGCAATACTAATTTGCCAGATCACAAATTAGGTGTGAGGCAGTCCAAACACTGACTCTGCTAATGAAGCGAAACAATGACAAGAAACACACCAGACAGAATTAAACAAATGCCTCCCTTTAGCAAGATGAATTCACGTTTTTCCAAGTCTGCCCCAGGAGTTTTGCCAGCTTCATCCTAACTTGGATTTAGTACAAAAACCTACCTAATCGTCAATGCTAGTACTTTATAATGTATTTCAGTTCTAAGAGGTCAATGATAACCCTTTCCAAGATGTGAGATAAAATATCCATTGTGACATCTAAATTGGTAGCAATGCAAAACACATCTCAAACCCTGCTGTCAGAGTTTGAAGTCTGAAATTCATTGCAAAGGCAGAGTAACTTCCTGTGGCAGAAAACAACATGTGGGTAACGGCTTCTCCAGTGGTAGCTGTGATGAATTTTCTAAAGCCCCACTTAGGAGTTCAGTGCCTGGCAGTAGACCCTTGGAAATTAAATGTATTCCACAGCTGGTAACAGATTTCCACTTAGAAACAAATGCTGACAAGCAGAGTGTAATGGTTTCCAGAATGAACCGAAATTTTCACCTCTGTTCTTTTGGGGGAGAAAGGGAGTAAGGAATAAAATTTATTTTATCTGAAGTTCACGTAACCTGCTGGTGCCCATTTCCAATGGTTGGAATGTCTCTCGCACTGGTCTGAGGCTGCCATAAGTGCAGAGAATAAGAACAGAAGGATTCATTCTTCTGTAGTGCAATCCTGTAAAATCCCAGAGTGTAGTGCCTGATTTCTTTCAAGAAAAAGTAGGCAAGTTTACCTAGGCTCAAAATGTCAAAGTCCAGCTGGCAAATGGCTGCTGGACGCTCAGCCTCTGGCTTTCACTCCCGATTACAACATCACTTCCCAGGAGTTCACCCTTCCAGTACAAAAGACCAAAGCAGGTCATCTTCCCTTCCGCCCAAGGGCTGCTGTTTGTGTGGAACAGAAAAGACTGTCGGCCAGTTCCACTATCCACGAGAAGGTCCAACATTAAGATCCGTGTTATAATTTTGGCAAATGAGTAAACGGGTTGACAATGCCCCCCACCCCCCATTACAGTTCCTTCTTATGTTGACATCAAGCACCTTTGGATTTAAAAAATAATAAACTCAACAAGTGGACTGCCCAGGTTCCAATTCCACGTTTCTTAATTAATCCATGGCTTTTGCCATTAAACAAAACAAAAACTACGTCTGTAAAGTTAGTGTCAGTCTGCGGAATCTAAACTTTCAGCCGGTGGAGCATATTTTAACCGAAATGTACCTGCAGGAAGAAGAATGGATGCAGGTCAGTTGCATAAGGTTCAGACAGGGTAACCAAGGACACATTATATAGTTCTGAGTCAGATGTCTTTCAAGAGAGTAACAAGTTAAACATGAGAGGTCCCTATTTGTGAAAGAAACCAGGAGCAAGGCCTTCTGCCTCTGGGATGCCAACAGCCTTCAACCTCACAGCTGAGAAACCAAAGAGCAGGCCCTTCCTCCCCCCCCCCGCCGCAGGATTCTTTGGGCTCTGTCACAGGCTCACTCCACAGTCACCCATCCCCCTTCCTTGTCCCTTCAGCATTTCAGGCCAGCTGGATTCAGTTTGTTTCCACGGCCTGTTGCTCCAGTGAAAAGAGCAGGGTACTGGCAGAATGCAGGTGAGATTTTTTAGTGAGCGCCACCTGCATGTTCTTGCATATATTTATCGGCTTAAACCGATCGTTTTTTGGATTTCCCTTCCTCTGCCCAAACAGTCATATTGGAACCCATATTCTGAGCAGTGGATCCCCTGCAAACTAATCGGTTCCTCACCTTGCCGATTGAAATCCATTGGGGGCTGCTTGCAGTCTTGCGCGCGATGCCCGCTGGCTCCACAATTGTAACAGGAGAGATTCCCGTTCTTCTTATGGCCTGTCCCTCCACCGCTGCCGCCCATCATGCCGGGGGCCTGATACACCCCTGCTGTCCCTGCCATAAAACTCTGCATCGGTGGCACGGCAAAGGTGGACGGTCCGCTCATGACTGAGTCGGCTCCGATGCCACTGCTGTACGGAGAGGGAACCATCGGAAAAGCAGAGCTCCCGCTGTACTGCTGGGTGTTGAGATAGCCATTGCCGCACAAAGGGCTGAAGGGCAAAAATGGGAAAGTAAACATGGACGGGCCTGAAAAGGGGTGCTGGAAATAGTTGGCATAACTGACCGTCATGCCACTGGAACCACAGTTTCCACTGCAGCCACAGGAGCTGCACACCATACACCCTGGGGGTGGGGGCAGCGGAGGCTGCTGGTGTGGGTGTGGGGGGTGGTTATTCTGGTTTGGTACGGGAACACTCCCTGCTGAGCTGCCGCTGCCACCGCCACCACTACCACTGTTGTTGTAGAAACTGTTCTCGGCAGCTGGCGACAGGGTGGGACTTGAGCTAGGAACAGGGCAGGTGGGGACATTGCTCAGGTTTGCAAAGGAGGTGGGTGGGTGGCTGTTGGAAGAGGCAGTGTTGCTGTTTGCACAGAAGCTGCTGCTGGGCATGGGGGCAACGGGCATGCTGCTCATCGCAGAAAAGGCCACTTTGGTGTTGGCTGTATAGAGAGCTGTCCGGGGGCTGATTATTGCTGGGGACATACTGAATTGCATACTATTGGAGCATGATGATGGGCCCACAAGGGTGGAATCAGTAGGAACGGAGGAAGAGACCAGGAGTTTAATGGGGGGTCGTGCCATGTGGAAGACGGTGCTGGCAGCAGCGGCAGTGGCAGAGGAGCTTGTTTCCACCAGGATTCCTGGCTGTGCTGCTGTTTTCACCATCCTGTCTAGGGTGGAAGCGTGTCCCATTTTGGTTCGCGGCCCAAAGTTCACTGAAGGCGCTGAAGAGCTGTTTTCAGGGACTCCAGAGAGCACTTGGATGGACTGATGAGACGCTGGCATCCCTTCCATAATCGTGTTTCCAAAACTCTTCTCCATTTTCACGCTGCTTCGAGGTAGCCCCAGGGAGTATTTTGTCCTGTCTTCCCCAGACAAAAGCGAGTGCATAGATGATGATAGGAGCTTCATGTCTGTGGCTCCTCGCTCAGATTTGTGCATAGAGTTCAGTATTCTCATTGGAGTGATGTGAGGGGAGCCTGCAGTCATCAGCTGGATGGGCACAGGGTGATATGTGGACGGACTGGAGCTTGCCTCATTCTGCACAGGCAAAACCTGAGCAGTTGGCCTGGTGGCACCAGAGCTGAAATGATTCAGGATTGGGATTGGCTTCTCCTTCTCAGAGGATTCCAAGGGGATCTCTAAACCTACAAGACAGACAGAGGTCAGCTATAGCCCACCAGGTAAACCCTGCAAGACAATGAGGCGCCTTTCCTTACGTCTCTCACTCTCTTCTGCGCTATCTGAGCTCTCTTCCCGGGTCTGGATTCCCATGGGGCTAGAGGATGAGCTGGAGTATTCTGAGGAGCTTCCTTCACGGGGGTTTGGAGGGCCTGGCTGATCCACCTCGACACGTAGCTCTTTGGGGGAAAGAGAGAAAAGGGCAATAGGTTTTAGAAGTCCAATGGGGCGCACTCTTGCATTTCTTTGAAGAGACACACAGACAACCTACGGGTGTTACTGGCTATATGGCACCTTGCAGAAGACTGTGCAGAAAGGTCAATGTGACAGAGTGCCACTGTTTTGGATCACTTTTATCTCAGAGCCACTGGATTTCTCTTTACACAAAAAAAGCCAGTTGTGCACCCTCACCATGGCTGAATGAGCAATATTTAGGATTTCTTGGGGAATAAACACTCGCCCAATTCATGCATACGATTTACCTGTTGTATGGTTACCACGGATGCTCTGGATCGGGGCCAAGTGTGTTGTAGGAGGAACTCTGGCCACCCCTGTGCTCCCAGAAGAAGAGACAGCTGGATTCAGGGTCCGTTTCTCCGACTTCTCCCTAAGGTAGAAAGTTGTGGAAATCACTACATAAAATAAAGTATCTAAAATCTGACTGTGTCCTCTGGCATTATGGGGCTGCATTCAGATGTACTGTTTTTTTCTCTTCCAAAGAGTCACGGTGGGTTTTGATATGAAAAATAAGACTGTAAAGGTTGACTCTAGAGAACAAGCTTTGGAGTTGAGCAAAGACAGAAGCAGGGCTTTGCTTTCTCCTTGATCTGACACGTGTTTTGTTCTTGAATACTTACTTTTCCAACTCCAGCTGGGTCTTGAGTTTCTTTTTTGCTCCCATGGTGAGAGATTCAAATTTATTCAGATCTTCTTCTGTAAGGCTCAGGAACTTGTACAGAAAATAAATTAAAACTCAGTTTTATGCTACGTCACATTTACAGACATAAAAACTACATTGTGAAAAATATACATCAGCCTTCATTATGAAACCTCTGAAAATAGTTCATTTACATAATGCTCCTTCTTGGGATACACTGTGTTTGAGCAGAATACAAGTGTACATGAGACAAGCCCAACCCTCTTCCCAAAGGTCTCTCTCACACATCATAGCTTTGTGTCCATAGTTTTCACAAGAGTTGGGTTATGCACTCCTTGACTTCTGTGAATACTGCAGGGACTCCCTCTTAACTGCATTTAACAAAAATCTGGCAGCCAATTTCATCTCAATATTATGTGCAAGTACTCAATAGTTACCTATTAAACTGTTCCCTAAAAACACTCATCAAACTGAGAACATGTAATCCAGCCTTTATTGGGAGTCTTATTAACAGTTATGTTTCAATAAATCATACAAAATTTATTGGAATAACAAACCACAGCCTATTATAAACTTTAATTTGTCTATTATGAATTCTTTATAAAGTGTCTAAAACATACTAAGCACTGTACAGAATGACATAACAAAGTAGACTGAAAAATTAAAGATTTGCTTTTAAGAAGCAAAGAGATCCACCAGAGGGCACCGCAGACTTTTGACATCATTAGGTTACAATGCATGGGAGAACAGCCGCAAATAAACCTCCTGATGAGGTCCCATTTCTGTGAGTAAAGCACAGGTGGGCATCTTAACACCTGCCCCAATCATGAGGAGTGGTGGTGGTGGAGGGGGGAAAAATACTGTGTAGATCAACTTTTGAAAGCAATTAAATCAAATAAACCACCAGCTAAATAGTGGTTGAATGAAGATGGAGAGGTTAGGATAGATTCAACTATCAGTTTCAACATGCACAGGTGTACTGAATTACTGAAATTTACATGTACAGTGGTGCCTCGCTTAATGGGTGCCTCGTTTAACGATGAATCCGCATAGCAATGGATGTTTTGTGATCGTTTTTGCGATTGCATAACAATGTTTCTAATAGGAAAATATCGCTTTGCGATGATCGGTAAGCTGTTTCGCTTACCGATTTTCGCATAATGATGTTTTCCCAACAGCTGGTTGATGGTTCCAAAATGGCCGCCGGCTTAAAAAAATGGCTGCCCGCTGTGTTTTCGTGCCCATTCCTCGCTTACCGGGCAGCGAAAATGGCGGCCGTATGGAGGATTTTCACATAAAGGTAAAATTTTTGCCCATAGGAACACATTAAACGGGTTTTAATGCATTCCTATGGGCTTTTTTATTTCGCATAGCGATGAATCCGTATAGCGACGATTTTGGCTGCACGGATTATCGTCGCTATGCGGGGCACCACTGTATTCACTTTAAGAAGTCCAGTTCATTCAAGGAGTCAGTTTTACTCCCAGGGGGCCAACCAGTGCCTTTAGTCCACTTGTTTTCAGTCCTGAGAGAATAATTTTGCATAGGACTTGTATAGAAACATGCTAATCCAGAACAAAGGCATGCAAAATAGCAGGAGACACCCTGTGCCTCCACCTCTGTCTGCCTTCCCACTTTCTCTCCTTCACTGGGTGGAGACAACAGAAGGAGGGAAAGGCCATGGCACTCAGGGAGCAGGCCCAGGATCCTTACCTTCTCCATTGTGAGCTGCTTGAAAACAGGATAGTACTTGTGCAAGCGCAGCTTCCGCAACCACTCCAGAATCCCGTTTTGCTCTTGGGCCTGTGGGGTCTGAGAACTGGAGGCCAGCAAGACAGGCAAGGAGTTCTCCAATGGGGAGCGGCAGGCCAGAGAGGAGCTCGTTGCACCCGAATGTGTGCCATGGGAGAGCGTAACCGGGGTGGCTGCTGGATGTGACACATGATGCTGCGGGTTGTTCTGTGAAGACTGGATTCCAGCAACGCCACAAACCGGCCTGCAAAGAAAGAATGAGACAGTCTTACCAAAGCAAACACACCTCAAGTACATTCGCCAAGAGAGCAAGGCCAGCCCAAAAATGATCCTCCGGACCTGGGAGGCACATCTTCCTTAGGACTCAAGATGGCAGTGAACACCACAAGGAGGGCCATCCAAAAGGCTACCACTGCAGAAGCCAAGGACATGCTGGGTCTCATTTTTCCTGGGCAAGTCGGCAGACACACCCAAGAACCCCTAGGGCCAGGGTCAGGGCCAGGATGGTGATGAGGATCCTGGGGTCACCGGCCATCCTATACACTCACTGCAGTTCAAGACACTTCAGCAGAAATGGGGACTGACTTCAGCAGCTTAGCAGAGACCTATTTACAGTATCTCTTCAGGGCTGTTGGAAAGTAGATTCCCATGGGGTACAGAAAATATTACATCAGAACTGAACATCAGTATGGGCTGGCAATAGCAACTTCAGACTTTTCCCTACAAAATATTCATAAAGCACACCTGCCATGCCTTTATTTTTAACCACAAAACAAAACTGCTGAGAAACTCAGTCCTTTGGGGTTTTGTATTGGGCCCTTTTATCTTGCTCAGTTTTGACAAACATTCCCAGCAGAATGTGAATGTCTCACAGCTTAGCTTTAGGTCACCTGAAAGACAGCATCTCCCTTTAGGAGCCTCTACAGGTTTTAAGATGTTCTGTTCTGGGGAAGCCCTTCGCTCAGGTCTAGAACTCCCTAGTCAAGACTTGAGGGACAGCCTTTTCAATGGCTGCTCCTGAGCTGCAAAACCCCCTTCCCAACAATGCCAGGCTGGACCCCCTCCTTGCTATTCATCTGCTGGCAAGCAAAGAACTTGCCTTTGGGGCATGATTTCAGCCCCTCGTTGGACTGCGTGGAAGGGAGTCACTTTTAAGTCTGTGGTTTTTTGGTTTTAAATTGTTTTAAGTTTAATAGCCTTTTGATATATTACACATTTATTGTAATTGCATTCTTAATATTTTGAAATATTTATCTGTCATAACCCTCCTCTGCCATTTTATAAGCCACCTTGAGTGAGTGAACTGGAAAAAAGGCCAAATTTAAATGAAATGAAACAATAAATAACTCTTACCTTCCAGAAGCAGCCAGTGTTGTACCCACTTTATAAAGGGAAGTGTGACTGGGACCTTTTAAAAAAAGGGATAGAGCAGGTGGTTGGACAGGTGAAGACCAGTTGCACTTCCACTAATTCCATGCTTATTGGGGTGGGGAGGAATGAATCATTAAAACTCACTTGAACTCTGAAACTGCTGTGAATGAGATGAAGTGCTGAAAAATTTCTTGACGTGGTCATTCTTCCAGATGTGGGAAGGTAATGATGCCAAATACCTACAAAATGAGTTGAACTCAATAATGACTTCTTTGCATTTGGAACACAAAAAGGAAAGCTGCATGGTTTTAACTGCAGAGAGGGAATCAAAACAGAAAGGGCTCCTTCACACCCTCTGGCAACTGTCACTGAGACATACAGAGGAAGAAAGAGCCACAGTGGATACCTTTGGCAGCGTAAGAACGTCTCAAGGAGACAAAACAGCTACTGAACCTAGTAATGTGAAATGGGTTGTACCATCACTCCAGGGCTCTTGAAATTCTCACACTCTGCCGCTACCCTACTGAAATGTTTCAAAGAAAGTCAAATGGAGAAGTGACATGCCAAGGAGCATGGAAGGGTTACTGTTTCCCTAAAGAAAACACTTGCATTAGGCCCTGTCTCTCGCTCTGAGGAGAAAGCAGCAGAAAGGTAAGGCTGTGCTCCCTTTCAAAAGCAAAGACAAGCAGGCAGCTTGGGACTCCCCAGAGGCACTCCACTGCCATTCCCACAGCCACCTGCCATTCTGACTCACAAAAATTTTGTAACGTCAAATAAACCCTGTTGTGTTTTTCTTTAAAGAAAGACTCTGGATTGCAGCTCAGTCAGGAAGGTGAGGCATCAACCAACTTATCCAGTTTAGACTGAAAGCACAGAAGATTCTCATCCCTGACAGCTGGTTAGATACCCAAGGGCCCAAGTAGTTTCTATCATTCACCACCTCCTGTTAAGGAAACATTTGCTTTAAAGGCTGGAATGAACTAACATTAACCTCTAACTTGGTTTTGTTAACACATCTGTTACACTACTTGCCTCAGCCTTGGGAAGTCTGGAGTAGTTCTGCTAGTCCTTGTGAGACGTGAAGATAGACTTCCCTAGACTTTAAAAGGAGGTTACTGGGTGGAGTTCTTTCCAACACACCACTGCGCAAGAGATACTGTGAACTGATCCAGACTTAGTCAAGGCTGGAGTCAAGCCATTATAAGGAACAAGATTCACATCACTCACCAGGAGTCTGTGTTGTGCTTGACCCTATGCTAAGCACAAGACAGTCTAAAACCAACCTGGTCATGTCAGTAAAGGCTCACCAGCTCTTAAAGGTAGGTAGGTGTGTGTGTGTGTGCGTGCGTGTGTGCGTGCGTGCGTGCTTGTTCCGCCTTACACTCATTTTAGTTGCCACTTTGACTGGTGCTTCTGTACAGCTACCATCCCATCTTCCAACATTCACTCTTGCTTGCTCCGCAACCTAGCCCACCATCTATTGCCTAGACAATCCATTCCTGTAGCTGCTGCAATGCACTCAAATTTCTTGGGTCATCCTCAGAAAAAAATGGAAGCATTGGGACCTCCTGCAAACAAAACAGCCCCCTGCTCCCACCCTCGGGGAAGAGCAGCCTCTCTCAACATTCTTTCCCACAACCTCCATGTTCCTGTTGACTCTACTCTAGCCTTGCTCTTCCAGTCTTCTGTTTGGCCAAATCCCTTCCTTTGCCTATTCTACTTGGAATGTGTTTTTGGTGCTGCTTTTGCTTTTACTGTTTTTAGCTTTAAATATTGTCTTTTAATGATATAAGCCTCCTTGCATCCTTCTTAAGGAAAAATGTGAAGTAAAAATATTTTAAATAAATACATGGATACATTTCTGACTCCTTGAAAACACTCTGATGTCTAGAACAGCTCCTCAGAGAGCTCACCTCCCTCCCTTTTCCCCCAAATCCTTCTTCCAAATTCTCTTTAAGATTGAAGCCTTTGCAACAATTTCCTAGCCCAAGGTCCTCCTGTAGCACTGGCAAAGGAACTGTGAAATGAAAGAACTGCAACACCATTCCTGTTTAACTCTGCCTTTTCCCTTTGCCTATTTGTCTGTCTGTCTGCCCGCCTGCCCATCCCTTCATCTATTTAGAATATAGGCACCATCCCCACCCTGTTCTTTGTAAAGCACTCTATGCATGGATGGCGCTGTCACAATACACTTCCCTCTGTAACAAGCAGTCTGTGCCTCTGAAGGGGCAGCTGAAAGGGCCAACATGAGATGTCAAGAGAGAGTGGGGAAAAAAGCGTGCAAGACCAAGGTAACAGCACGACAAGGGCTGGCAGCAGGGTGGGTCTAGAGGGCACTAATGTGCTGCCTCAAGGCTGAGAGAAAGCCCTTCCTAATCTTTGCAGGTGGCCATATGGATGGAGGGAAGGTCGCCTAGCCTTGTGAGAATCTCTCTCCCCCAAGTAGGCCTTCTCTCTCTCCACGTATTTGCTACGGGTTCCCTTTTCCATGAGGTGTATGTAATGGGTTTGCGTGGGAGAGAAGCCATTAAGAGGGAAAGATTTCCAGATATACCTAAGGTCTGATTCCAAGTCCATGTGGTTTCTCTCTAGGTAAAATGAATCTGGACCAGCTAGGCAAGGAATAATTTTCTCCAAATTTTCCTCTGGGCACAGCTGACCTAACTAAGAAAGAAGATGTTAGTTGTGAAACCAGAAACAAAAAGGACAAAAGACAAAGCAATAAACTTACATTAATCAGATACAATTCGTTTAAAAACAGAATCCTGCAATTGAACACTGTATGAATTCTATTTCAAAATATATCTTATTCTCTGGAAATAACATCAAAACCAAAGTCAAGAAATCTTTTACCTTTGAAATAAATTCCATGACCTCAGCAGAAGATTTTGTCACCAACGTCACTGATGAATCAGACCATAAGACCTTGCCATACAAAAATAAATAAATAAATAATCATTTTATTTTTTTATTAATACGACTTAAACCTACTACCACACAAAAAACTATTAAAAAAATAAAAAGAATACAAAATAATAAAATACAATTACACATGTGCTCCCATCACCTTCAGGACTAGCATTACACTTCATTCAATCCATTTTCACTCCAAAATTTTATTGTTTCTTCCCTCGGTGTATCACCCTTCCCTCTCCAAAATACATATTCCAAAAATACATTCCATATTTTCTTAAAATCATTATTTTTCAATTGGCCTCCTCTTATTTTCATATCACATGCCAGTTTATTATTAATTGCAATATCCCATAATTCTCTATACCATTCCTCTAAGTTAAATTGATTATCATTTCTCCAGTTTCTTGCAAAAATTAACCTTGCTGCCGTAATCATTATTACTATTAAATCCTTATTTTCTTTCAACAATTGATCTTTCTTAATTACATTCAATAAAGCCAATAAAGGAGACATTTGAATATTCAATCCAATTATTTCAGATATTTCTTTAAAGATTAAGTTCCATTCTTTCTTTCTTGTTTCACATAACTACTACATGTGTAAATACGTTCCCTTCTCTTTTTTAAACCTCCAACATAATGTTGACACACTTTTATCCATTATATTCATTTTAACCGGCATTAAATACCACGTCCATATTACTTTGTAACAATTTTCTTTTATCCTTACTGACATGTTCTTCATAATTCTCTGATCCCATATTTTATCCCATTCTTCACCTATTACTTCTTTATCCAAATTGTTTTGTCATTGCATTTTTAATCCTTGTATACCCTGTTCAGCTTGCATTAATAATTTATATATCTGGCTTACAGTTCCTTTTCTTTCTGTCTTTTCCTCTAATTTTAATCTTTTTTTCCTATAATCTCTTCAAATTTTGTCATTTTTCTACCTTTCCCTTCTTTAGTATTCCATTCACTTGTCCACCTTTCTAATTGAATTATATTTAACCATGAAATCCCCTCTCCTCCTAGTACCTTTTTTATATCTTCTTTATTTCTTATCTTTTCTGTCCAATCTTTTAATCTACTTATCCCTTTACTTTTTTTTTAGATTTTCCGGAAAATTCCTTAGTTCCACCACCTGAGATAAAGGAGAGATCGGTGGACTCAATATACCTCTAAATTCTTTCCAATTTTCCAACATATTTTTAAGGAAAGGATTATTAATCTTTTGAACCTCTTCTCCATTTTTTTCTTTAAACAATATACCTTCCACTCTTTTTTGTATACCCTCCATCTCTATATCTGTCCAAATTTAATTTTTATTACCCTTAATTATATCTGGGATATGTCTAAGCTGATTTGCTATATAATTTTATGTTAGGTAATCCAAGACCTCCCTTTTTTGTGTAACATACCATAATTTTTTATTGATCCTCCCTTGTTTATTTCCATTACAATAACAATTTATCATTGTCTGCCACTCTTTCAGTTGTTTTTCTGTAATCTTTATAGGAAGCATCCAAAATATAAAGTTCAATTTAGAAATTATTTTCATTTACATAATGCCACTCTACCAAACCATGAAATCTTTAGTTTCGGATATTCTTTTATCCTTCTGTTTATCTCTGTTTTTAATCTATCCAAGTTTATTTTAATTATTTCTTGTAAATTCCAGGTAATATTAATCCCTAAATATTTCATAACATTTCCAATTTTACCTTCAAATATTATTTTCATTTTTCTTCTCTTTTCATCTGAGTGACTTAACAATAAACATTCTGACTTTTCCCAATTTACCCTTAACCCCGTATTTTGATGAAAGTAACTAAAAATCATTTTAGTTACTTTCATCAAAATACTGTATGTATATCTAGAACAGATTTTACTGGCATGGATTTTCAGAATCACCTGCCCAAAATAACATATTAAAAGTAACATTGTTACTCCCTTTCGCTTTTTTTTTTAAAAAAATAACAACTGTTGTTAATTGTTTCAACATAAAATGGCATGAGAAACAACATTAACAGTGAAAGTTTGTTTCAAGTCTACTCCACACCTGGAAATGTTAATAAGAGGTCATTTGGGGGTGTTTTTAGCCATTCTACAAAACTGAAATGATTCCCCTGCCAAAAAAATTATGTAACAATCACAAACACATTTTTTTAAAAAGTATTGCTACTTCTAAACTTTAGCTTTAAAAACCACGATTCCAAGCCTTGTGACAGAGTGACCACATGCATGGAGGAGTTGCGGGCCAGGAGGAGGGCCAGACATCCCATCCACCTTCTGATTCCATGCTGCCAGAGAAGGAAGAGGCACACTGTTAAAATTTGACATGCCTGAGTCTCTGCAGGCTTCAGTTGCTGGATTTATACTGGCCTTTCCACACAAAACACACTTCAGGTGGACATGACAAGCCAGACCCATCTCTGGAGCTATCACCAGAGCTTCATCCATGCCATGTGGCTTCATGTCAGCCTTCCCTCTCCAGATGTGCTGAACCAAAAGGCCCATCATCCGCCACCACCACACTGGCTGGCCAGGGGGCACCAGGCTCTGCAGAGAGGTTGGGATTCCCCCACTCTCCACTGCCAGAAACAGAACGCCAATGCCACCCTCCACTCCTATCCTTGCTGCTGTATCCAGCATGCCAGTGGCAGCTGCGGCTGCGGTGGTTTCCTCAGATTCAGTGCAGAGGCCAGGCTAACTAGGTGCCTCTTTTGCATCCACAACATATCTAATGGGCGCAAAGGCCATCCTGAGAACTCAGTGCAGACTGCCCAAGTCATAGCCATTTCCAGGGCAGGTAGCAAATGAGGCCACTGGATGGGAGGATGGGGCATGCTGGAGACCCTGCAAACAGGGCCTGCCTCAGGCCACTGCACAGGCAGCACCGGTCTGGCCTCTGGAATTGTGTGCCAGATGATTTGCTCAGCCTGCCATTGCTCCGGGCCCCTTCTCCACATCTGCAGTAAAGCTTATTCCACACCTTGACCATAAATTGGCAAAGTGGCTGACTGATTTAACTGAACTGCCTGAAATTTCAACAGAGTGCAGAGTGATCTATTAAGCACTCTCAGTTTCTATTATTCTAGAGTACAGACTGATTTGGGATTCATGGGAAAATCCTGCCTTCATCCTTGGGAAGGAAAGAGGGTGGAGGAAAAGAGCGATCTTTTCACATGACACTAGTCTCAATGACAACCCAATACACATGTTTTTCCAGCCCTGCGGATGCTGCCAAAACACTGCTGAGTTTCAAAATACATTACGTAATAGAGGAATTTCCTCTTCCCACCACTTGTTTCACCAAAGCCAAGAAACAAAGAACAGACGGCTTCTAGTTGCACCTCAGGCTTTATGGATCAGAGAGGGAGAAAGAGAGAGAGGGAAACAACAGGAGGAAAGAGGCAAAACAGACTCTCAGGACTTCCAAACCCCTGCAGCCCTTGATGGCCCAGGATTCCAGAGACATTGCCAACCTCCTGTGAGTCAAAAGGCAGGTGAATTCAAGAAGCAAACCAGAAAACAAGAAGTGGAGGACAAGGAGGAAGAAGCCATCCAGGAGGAACATTTGGACCAAAGCAGCCGAGGCTGCACAGGAGAGTCTAAAGCAGGGGAGCACACCAACTGGGGACCCCTGGGCTGTCAGACTACAACTCCCACAATCCCTTGCCACTGATTGTGTTGGGGAGGCTGATAGGAGCTGTTGTTCAAAGCCTCTTGACGGCAGCTGGTGGCCTCCCTTTGATTCAAATCAAAAATGGGCAACTCGAGGGGAAACAGGGCAAAACTGTTCACCTCCAGTGCCCCCCCACTCCACCTTTGAGTGCACTATCCTGGAAATGGCCATTTTCAGCGATCTTTTTCTTTTAAGCATAAAGAGAAAGTATCCACATGGAGGCACTTCAAGTTTGGTTTTTATACTAGGAAGTAGGGAGTTTGCCCCCACCCCCAAGCCCAGGTCAAAAAACAGTGCTCCTGCAGGACTTTTTGTAGAAGCAGCAGCCACGAGAGCAGCAGCAAGAACAGCAGCAACAACATCAACAGCAACAACTAATACTACTCTAAAAACTTACAGTGGACCCTCAACTTACAGACGGCTCGACTTACAGACTTTTTGAGTTATAGACTTCTCTGGCTGCAAAATTTAGATTCGACTTGCAGCCGGAGAATCGACTTACAGACCAGAAAACCCCCAAAATGGAACAAAAATAGAATAAAAACCGCCAGTTATGGGATTAATCGGTTTTCAATGCATTGTAGGTCAATGGAGATTCGACCTACAGACTTTTCGACTTGCAGACACCATTCCAATACCGATTAATTCCGTAAGTAGAGGGTCCACTGTAGTACGTGGCTTGGTCCAAGGCCAGGGGAGAGGCACACATGGAGCCAGGTGGGATGAGGACCTTTTTCCTATTAGGAGTAGCAGATGTGGGTTTAAAACAAAAACAGAACTGCATCTGTAGTTGGAGTGCATTTTATTTTCTATTAATATATTAAGAGTGGTTCAACTCCAGAGAAATGGTATTACTTCAGCTAAATGGGGAAAATGTCTGGCCGTAATGAGTTGTAATTCTTGCAACTCATTCTGAATATAAATAATTGTAACTGCCTTTTACTATAAGGGGGGGGGGAGCTAGGCTTCCTACATCTTCTGAGATCACATATATCAAGAAGCAGTACCTGCTGTCATATACTCCTAGAACCACAAAGTTGGGAGGGGCCTATAAGGCCAACCCCCTGCTCAAGGCAGGAGTCCAAATCAAAGTGTCCCACACGTACAATTCTGGTGTCTGAGTTAATACAATCCAATCCATTTTTCCCTGGACTTGGAAGCTTACACACACAAGGCTCTAGAGTACAGAATACTGCAAGAGCTGAAAGAGTTGACCCCTTTCACCGCTCTTTAAAACTAAACTGACTCTTTCTTTGTTGCCAGTGCCTGCCAGAGTTTGCTCCACCTTGCGTGGCTCCACTCGTGTGCCTCCCATGACCTTAGACCATGCCGCCTTGGGTCCTTAAATGGGAGAAGGGCAGCATACCAATGAACATAGTAAATAAAAAAAATAAACCACAAGGCAATCACAGCTGGCCACCAGCTAAGCTTAATAAAATTAACTGTCTTCAGAACTCACCTCAAAGGAGTATTCAACGGCTCGATCATTCTTCTTGGGCGTAATTCCCTTTAGTTCCACTTTTTCAACACTCACTGTAGGAAAAGAACACACGGCATGTCACATACCCCGAACAGGCAGTCCTGTCCCAATACCAGGAGGTGCTGCTTCACCCCAACTCCCAGATGCAAACAGCAGCCAATCTTAAGAAAAGCTCTGCACTTTTACAGAGAATAATGCCCACTGAGTGGGCTCTGCTGGTTTTTCTTGGGTGCCAAACCCAGCGTGGCCAAAGGTCAGTTGGCAGCATCTGACACATGCTATTCAAGAAGAAAAGGTCAAAGTAGCAATAACATGCACTTTGTTAAGAGACTGCAGGGTTACTTCCCATTGGATTCCAGTTTATCGTGACCCACACAGCATGGATATGCTTCACATTCACTATGTATTTCCACCAGTGGGGACAACAGCACAGTCAAGGTGGAAGAAGACAAGAGATGGGTGGTATATAAATCTAATAAATAAATAATAAGAGCCATGTTCACTCGTAAACTGGCAAAAATAGGAAGAGAAGATAAATGAATTGGCTACGAATTCTACAATGTTAAACTGTCTGCTTCTCTCCAGACAAACAAAAACAAAAACAAACAAACAAACAAAAACACCTGAAGGATGCAAATGCATATTCTTGAATGCTCTAATCTGCTCCATGCTGGCCGCCTTCCTGCAATAACAGTAGAATCAATCAGGTTCATCTTCAGTTTATCCTGAAAACCATATGAAATACTCTTAGGAGGAATTAATGGAGGAAAAGATTTCCAATGGCCAAAGCAACCTGATTCTCTCAGTACCCATTTCTGGGGAGCAGAAGCAGGGGGAATGGATGCAGCCACCCTCCTGTCCTGCTTGCTGGTTTGACACTGGGGCAAGGGGTTGGCTACGGAAGGAACAGAAAGCTTGGTCTTTATTCTGACCCCACGTGCCTCTTAGGCTCTTCACACGGAGCATCCTGGCACAAATATGGCAGAATCTGTAATTGCTCTCCAAGGGTGAAGCACAGTTCTGGCACCAGAAACAGAAGAGAGGTCCAAGCAGATTTTCCACAAAGGAAGCAGCCCTGACAACAAATTATCCCTTTTGTCATGAGCACAACAGCACTGAAGGAACTACACCGCTCATTCACGCTCCAATGTAACCAGACCTTGCTCAGGGGGAGGCTTTTTGCCATCTCCCGCATATTCAAATCCTTATTATTATTATTATTTTAAAAAAGAGTTGAGCAACAGACAGACGCAATCCCAAATTAGCGCTTCTTGAAAGGGTCTCAACTCTGAAAGATTTTATTATATTTGGAACAGCTTTGAAACAGTTCATGAATTGTATTTTTTTAAAAAAACACAGGATTTGTTTGATTTTTCACTAACAAACCAGGAGAGAAACTCAATGTGTCTAAAGACAACCAACTGTGTACATTTTTAAAGTGGCCGCCATCCCAGGGGCACAGCAAGGCCTTTACTGCCATGGTCCTGCCAGTACCTGCACACTTCCTGAGGCATGCTGAGAGATGGCCGTGTGCGACCAGTGGAGTGAGCGAGGGCCTCATCCTGACCTACTGCAGGACACTGCTTGCATAGGCAGGCCTTCATATTTCAGGGCCATGGGATAGGCTGTGGCCTCCCCATGCAAGAGGAGAGGAGGCATTCAGCAACATAAGGTCTGTGCGAGGTCCCTTTCAGTCAAAAGGATTCCAGAATTCATTTCCTTCATCAGCTGAAGAAGAAGCAGAGATTACTTGTGATCAAATCTAGTCCAGGAGGAGGAGGAGGAGGAGGAGGTCTGGTGCCCTCCAGAGTCTCAGATCACAACTCCAGCAGCCACAGCCAGGAGTTGTGATCCAAAACTCCTGGAAGGCACCACATTGCCCACCCATCTCGTGTGAACTAATTCAAGGAGAAACCATCTCAGCCGATCCTTCTGTACAGTAAATATAGTTATAAGCAGAGGAATACGGCCAGCACAATATTCTTTAGTGCTACAGGAACGCTCTATTTGCTTTAGCTGCCCAGTTGGGCTTTCTCTCTCATTCATCATTCAATATCATTCAATATCAAAACAACACAGAAACCTTTAGACTTAAAACTTTATAATGCTTGGCATACGGGAGACACAAGATTCTTCTGACACACATTAACTTGCTCCACAAAAAATAATAAATAAATAAATAAATAAATAAAAAGA